CAGAAAAGGGAGTTAGGGATTCACAGTCTTCCCAAAATAAGTGAAATTGTGAAAGGAAATTACATCACTCAATCAATGCTGTCTATATGGTTATTTTTCACACTTTTATTATTAAACTTAGTTTATATAAATAAAAAGAAAATCCTACGTTACCTAGGTTAACACCTCAAGAAAGACCGGGATAAATGTATAAACTTATATTACAGTCGTGATATAAATTAAAATTGTAGAGCTCCATGGCAGTGTAACCAAACCATCCTTTATGAGCAACCAAGAAGAGAAGAAAAACAAGTTTTTTACTTTTTATTTTTTATTCGTCCTTAGATGGAGTCTTGTTAGGCTCGTCTGCTAAGTCAAATTTGTGGCATAAGCTGTAAATGTATAAAACATTATTATAAATTAGTTAATTAGTTAGAAACCACTCTAAAATAGTCACCTAAGTATGGCTACAACAGCGAGAAAGCAGGACATGCCTCCTCCTGGTGGATTTCGACCAATAAATTATGAAAGAATCAAAGCTAGAACCTATTTTTCAGGTAAGCCCAGCTTACTATTTATTTTGACCAGGGGTAATTTCTGTTGGTTAAAATATTGAAATAAATCACAATGCTCGAAAATAAAGAAACTTCATTTGCCACTATATAAAAATCATAATAACTTAATAACAAATCAATCATATAACTTAACTTCCTTTGGCGTTAAAGTTTAACTCACTTGTTAGCCATGTTAGATTAAAAACACTCCCTGTTGATAAGGCCTAAATTTATAACACTTTAGTTTAAAATGGTGATCGTCAATCAACCTAACAAAATAGCATTGCATTGTGGTGGGTATGTGTAAGGTTGGGATGGACAGCCAATTGTGGTGGGAGAGGTAGGCCTAGGCCTTTCTAGAGAGGCACTGTTCCTTGTCGCCATAAATACCTCGAGCTCAATGGTATGGCTCTAGATTTGCGAATGACACTACTTACCATCTTCTCACCTGGAGCAAACCCTACCCTAGCACTAGAGACGGCTGACATTCAGTTCAATGAAGCGAAACACTGGTTTGAGGCTAATAAACTAGAACTGAATGAAGACAAGACGCAGAGACTTATTTGTACTCTCAGTCATCACGTACTAAGATGTAACCAGTGTAAATCTTCTTGGTTTTTCAATTGATCCAAAACTTGCTTGGGATAACTTAACCTAAACACATATAACTTAATCAGTTTGTAAAAGACTGTCCAGAGTGATCCATCTACTTCGAAAGTTGACAAGGCTTGTCAGCTAACCTTAACTTATTTTCTTGTAGTGTATCCACGCTCTTTTCCATTGTATTTTAAGCTATGGTCTCCTACTCTGGGGCCATGCATCATGCCAAGAAATTTCAATTTACAGAAAAAACGGTAGGCCTACCTACATTTTTTAAAGATTTGATCATTAAGTTTCAAACCTCTGTTAGCCCCGGAATTTTAACCATCTAGTTCTACATCAATACATTTTTATGTCAGCTGCCCATGTGAAGCCAAATCTACACAAATTCCCTAGGTACAAGAAATATCTTACTGTACATAGCCATAGTACAAGACAAAAACTCTGACCTGGACATACCCTTCTGCAGGCTGTCAAAAACCAAAAACTCGTTCCCAACGCTTGCCCTGAAGATTTACAACCACCTGCCAACTTTAATCGAAAACCAAGAGGAAACGGCCTTTTTTGTACTGCCCTGAATAATTTGTTAAGAGAAAAGCCATGCTACAGCCTACAAGATTATCTTAATGAGAAACTTAGAAGTACGGTACACTCCTGATTAACCGAGGTTGTTGGGACCGAGACTACTTTGGTTACCGAGAATCTCGGATAATACGGAGGTGTCTTAGATTCTGAGGCTAGGCGTTACGGTACCACTATCACATTAGGAAGTCAAAGACTTGTAAAGTAGGCTATGTTTTAATAACAATGCATAACTTAGTGAATACAAAATGATTAATAATTGATATTTTAATAGAAAATGTATTTAAGTAAAGACAGTGTTAAGTTATTAAGGGAAACAATAACTCAAACACGCTTAACACTTCTTAAATTGTCTAAGAAAAACTTTAACTACCGGTACACAGTATTTAAATTATGCCAAGCCAAAACTTCAGGTTTAAATAAAAACACAATAAAGTGGACTAAAGTTATTAAAGTATCTATAACATTTTTTTTGTTTGAGTTTTACTTGAACTAGGCGCCTACAGTTTGAACAATTTTCAGGCCCTCAAATGTTCCTTGGCTTTTTTGGAATAACTGCTGCAGCATCCTACCTTTATATCAAGGGATACAAAAACCAGATCCGGCAACAGGTTGAAGTGCGAAGCTCACTATTTGCCATCCTACCTGTGATGTTTGCAGAGCGAGATAGAGCGTAAGTCTTATTTACATAAAAAATATATTTTATTTTGTATGTTTTTCATGCCAATTGCCAATGATATTTTTTAACGTTTTGAAAGGGAACGGTCCAAACCCTTACGTTACCATTGAAGCTGTTAGGCAAAACTCACATTAACTTAGATAAGAAGATAATTATGCCACTGTAATAGCTAATAGCATTGTTAGGTCTATGATACTGATTGAGATCAGCTTGTTTTGTATCTCACTCGATAAAGACAAAAGTGTGAATAATGTACTGAACTCAGTCTATTTATAATGAAGTTTAATACCGTAATGACTTTGTTGACTGCTGATACCAAAAATTCATATAATTATTTTTAGAGGAAATTTTCAAAACAGAAACAAACTTTAGTAAAACAATTATACAATAAAAATAAATAATGAGTTGAACTAAACTTAATAGGTATGTATTAAGCCTACAGTACCAGTTACCGTGATACATAACTTAAAATAACAATCAAAGTGGTGCTAGTCGATGTTCAAGTAGGCTAAAAATATAATAAAAGTTAAGCAATTTGCAGAAACATTGTCCCTCTCATCACAAAGCTAAATACCCTATTCCAAGTTATAGTAATCTAGAATATTAAGTCCAGCTTACCCGCCTGGAAAGTTAGTAAACTTGATGGGCAATTGATCACTATGACTCATTGTTTCAAGTTTCAACCTCATCATATTTATTTTTTTCTGATCTGTGACCGGTTCTCACTTTAGTTTACGGGATTTTGGAGAATACTACAATTTTCAGTTGGTCTTAGAATAGTATTATTTTCCCAAGTATTATTTTTCCTTGTATGATAAAATGAACTATAACAGTACAGTAGGCACAGTTAGTCTGGGCGCGCGGACCCTTGTGTACTAACCGTCCCTCACGCCAAAGCCATGAAGACAGCGCTGAACAACCTCAGAGAGCTGTGTGGGCCAGATGTTTTTGGAAATGAGCAATAAACACTCCATCCTACACCCCCCGCCCTAGCGCGGCCGTGCGCCCAGACAGCTGCGACTACTGTATTTAGTATGACGAAAGTAGTGCTCTCCATGTGACGGTGGTTTAGTGGCAGCAACTAACCTAGTTCCATAAGTAGTTGCTGGACTCTATTAAGCTCCTAGCTCTTTCAGTTGTTAAAACCAAATATTCTACAGTCAAGTTAACTGAATGAAATACAGTTGTAGCTTTTTCTGAAGGCTCTTTTGTCTAACAGATTCCTCAAGCAGCTCAAGGTCAATCGAGATCTAGAAGCTGATCTGATGAAGAACGTTGAAGGTTGGGAAGTAGGTACATACTACGGAGAGCCCATCTACAAGACCAAGGACCCCGACTACCTCATAGAGCCTCGCATCCGAGAGTACTTCATCCACAGCAGCTGGAAAGACGCTTCAAAACGTATCGACATCCGTCACGAGGGCTAGGTCAGTGAGGCTTTTATTAGTTCTTTTATCGATTTAACTATAATTTTGTCAAAACTTGGTTCGGTAGAACCCTTTAAATCCTCAACCACGGGACTGAGCTCCTGGCTTCCTGATACTACCCGATGAACCTAAAACCGAAAGCCTAATCTAATAAAACTACTCGCTATGTGTTTGCCTAATCAATAATCGTAGTTAAAATCAGTGTTTAGCCATTAAAATTTAGTCATTTGTAAAAATAGTTGTTTAGAGGTTACGTTTTCGTTTATAACCTCTCATACCCACTTTTTGTGATACAACGACTCTGTATCAACCCACTCACATCAATGTATAATCAAGTAAATTGTTCATAACAGCTGATAAGTTGACGTTTGTAATATTACAATTTTACTTCTATTCTCTCAATCCTTGAACCTCATTAGTTCCTTACTCGTTTTATTAAGTAGAACAACTAAGCTGCTAAGTAAATAAACAATGCATCAAGTGATTTTTTAATTTTAAAAACTGAACAGAAAGGGCTAGTTTAAAAAACCGGTACAATAACAACGTAGGTAAAAATTATTACCTTTCATAAATAACATTATTTACCATTTTTCAGATTTGAAGCCAGTAAACGTAGAAGTACAAACCAAGAAAATGTAGAACTACTAAACATAATCTTGAGGGTTCTTATAATTAAGAAAACAAATGTAAATAGCCTGTTCTTGAATTAAAAATGTTTACAAAATTGTTCTGTAAATTTTTTTACCTATTTATATCATTTATGTATTTGAATTTAAGTAAAAATTTTTGATGGTCAGTTTATTATATTTACTCAAGTGTGTCTGTATTCCTTGGTTAATAATCCCCTATTAATCCTACAAACTGGCCTGGGGTCTTGGAAAGACAGCAGCGTAAAAAATGTTGCCCCACCAAGTAAAGTTCTTTTTTAGAGGCTACATTAGTGAGTGAAATTTCCAATCAAGTTACAGATATGCTTTTGAGGGTGAGCGTTCCAAACCCATAAGCCTGTAATCTTTTCTAAAAATTTAGGGCTCATGTAGCAAAGTCAAAGTCGGAGTCTCTAATCACTATGCTAGAAACTCATTAAAATACTAAATATGATAAAATGCTAATACAAAAAAACCTAGGTTTACTACACATTTTATTTTTACTTTCAACGGTATCTCCAAATCATTTATTACAAACATATACATCAATATTACGAATGTAGCATTCAATTCATAAGAGATATATAAAATTCAAATTTTACCGAGATTTAACATTTTTTGATATTAGTTTTAAAAGGAATCAATGAATGTCAGCTGGGTCGTAAAGCAGTTTGTCTATCGGTGTGGTGAACCCAGCGTATCTGCGGAACTGATGTCTAGGGTGGGGCGACCGTGTGGCGCCAGGTAGGGAGGGCAGCTTCTCCCTCCATACACTCACTCCCTGGTCTAGGTAGAGGGGGTATTTCTGGTGCAACTGTAAAAAAAACAATTATATGAATATATCATAGTTGTTTAAATACATACCTCTTCAAACACAGCTGAATAAATATATATTTGTAAAAGGTTGTTTTGATTCTAAAGTCAAATCTTTTAAGTTTTGAAACTGGACCTAATTGTCTTTGAACATTGATATTGTCCTGAATAAGGAAACAGCTGATCTTAGCCAGTAACAAAGCTATCTATCCATTCAACACTCATTCTTCACCTTTTATAATATACACCCTGGTGTGAAGGTGACGTAATAATCCTTCGCTCCTGTCATACTCTACCGTTTTTGCTCTCCCGTTAAGAACCGTACTTAAAGGCGGTGACACACTATCGATCTTTTCCCCGAACAAGACCCCGAACCGAGCAGGGAGAAGGGAGGTAAAAAATCTGCAAATTTTCAATCCGAACATTTCCCCGAACAAGACCAAGACCAGACAAGTTCTACCTAGCGCTGTAAAAGGGAGTTTAGAGAGAGATGGAGAGCGTGTGAGTGAGAGCGTGTAGGCTGTAATAATAAAATACCCCCGCCGCAGCAAACCTGCCGACTAAGCGAATTTCCAGTTGCCTGAATTGATTTTCAATTAAATGTATTTAATAAACATTAATTTTAATGAGTACATAGGCTTGCTGCTACAGGGAGGGTAAAAAAGTGTGTTTTTTAGAGAAATATTAACCCTAGCAGTGGCCAATGTTAGAAGTGGGGAATGGCCAACCCATTTTGGCGATTTTGCAGACCATTTTTTGAAAATTCGTAAAAATTCAACCGTACAAGTAAACCTAGCCAACCTCATATTCATTTTGTTCGGAAAGAACAGGAGAATCTAGAAATAGTAATATCATAATGATTTAGACAGTGTATTTTATCGGTAAAGCGAAAAAAATAAAAAAAATTGAATTTTTTTTTTTAAATTTCAAAAGCGGCCTCTGCATTTTTTTTCTACGGATTTTTTTATGGGAAATTTATTATATACATTTTGTAGACAATCTAATTCCCTACATAAAAATATATAACATGTTAGGAAAATATTTTTTTTTATAAGTTTTTGGGGCGAAATATAATGACAAACGGAGAACCGAAAAAATTGAAAACCGTACAGTGTTAGTTTATGTTGTAAAAAGTTCTATAATATATGTGTATACTAATAATGATATATACATGTTTGTAAAGCTAATGAAGTAAGGAATCAAAAAAAGTCATAAAGTTTATGGTAAAAATAATTTTTTACCTATAAACATACGTATATAAAATAATGTTTTTATATTTTAGCGATTTCTCGAGAAAAAAATTCACAGTACTTGGTATACAATTTTTGTACCAAATTTGTTTACTTCAAACCAACATAATAATCTTGTAGTGTATTCAATTACCTACATAAAAATGTATAACATGTTAGAAATATTTTTTTTTTGTAGGTACGTAATAGGGACATAATAATACAATAACCGCAAAACCGCAAATAAGTGTAAACTATAGCCTACAGTGTTTGCTTGTGTTGTGAAACATTATGTAGGCTGATGATATGTAGCCTACATATTTGTAAAGCTAATGAAGTAAGGAATCCAAAAAAGTCATAAGTATGATGGTAAAAAGTTATTTTCACCTATGATTATGTATCAATTTGAGAACGTTTTGAATTTTTTGCGCATTTCGAGAAAATGGAGTGTACAGTATTTAGTAGTCTATATAATTTTTTTACCAAATTTTTTACACCCAAACCAATATAAACATGTTGTAGTGTATTCATTTACCTTTATAAAAATGTATAACACCTTGGGTAAATCATTATATAGCATATATAGCACCTCTGAATGTCAGAATCGTCATTTTTGAAAATGATGCTAACAAAATACAGTAGGTAGTAGGCCTATTTAGTATAGGCTATAACTTTTTTACAAAATTCTTTTTATATGCATAAGAATATGCCCCCAAACCATTATAAACATGTTGTAGTGTATTCATTTACCTTTATAAAAATGTATAACACCTTGGGTACATCATTATGTAGGTACAACAATCTCTGAATGTCAGAATCGTCATTTTAGGACATGATGCTAACAAAATACAACCTTTTATGAACACTATTTCACACAATTCAGTAATATTTATGCATGAAGATTACTGTTATACACACACACAACACTTCACTAACACTAACACTACGAACTAATAACATATTTAGTAATAAATCTCGGATAACACTATTACCGGCAACAACACAAACAAACAATGGCAATACAAGACAGCTGACAGACTGTAGCAGTAATGACTCACTTTCGTCGTCTACATGGAGCATACAGAAATAACCCTGAGTGCAGGGCTGCCACTCTCTGAATCTAAATTTCTTCCTCTTCAAAATGATATACTATATGACTAGTAATAATAACTTTCACTGTATATAATTCGTATTTTCCATACTGTCACCAGACGACTGTTGGCCATTTGTTAGAAATTTCGAAAACAGCTGTTTTCATAAAATCGTACCGATTGTGCAATCAATATTTAGTTATAAATATCACTACCACAATGAAGATAAAATCAATGGCTATCCAGTGGTACCACCCGCAACATCCCAAGACGAAAATTACCCGAGCAGGGTAATGCCAAACAAGACGTGTTTTGCCAGTTCCCAAGTGTCGGCTGCAAAAGTCGTACCGCGCCAAAATTTCATTTGATTTCTAATCGTCGTGACATTGTTATATACCTGCTACAGGGTTTGTTTATGTAATCAAATGAAAGTTCAGAATGTGATCTTTCGAATGGTATATATATTATTCTCATCTGAGTTGATTGTAAGTGTTTTTTTACCGTTAAAAAAATTTCGGCCCATACCGTCACCAGACGACATTGGCCATTCTAAGCATCAACGTCATACCGTCACCAGACGACGGTTGGCCACTGCTAGGGTTAATAACTTAGTATAAAATAAATAAATTTACCAAGTTTGATCAAAATATATCCATAAACAAGCAGACTACAACATTTTACAATATTCCCCATAAGAATAACATGGGAATTTTAAAATAACAATTATTTGAATTTTCTCCGTAACTAATAATAGTACAAAAACACTTTGATATACTAAATTATTTGTTTTTTTAAGCTCTTTAAGAAGGTCTGAAGAGAAATTGGGAAATTTTTCGTTTGTAGGGTCAAAAATTAGAAAACCCCATTTTTACCCCATAAAACCCCCCGTAAAACCCCGTTCCCATGGTCCGATCATGCTGGTTCGCGAACTCATTCAAGTTTCATTTCATTTCATTTCATTTCATTTATTTCCCACGGTTAAACCAATTTTACAAATTTGTCTACATCAAGATGATAATACAATAACAATAACAATAATAAACAATAACAATAACAAGAATAACAATTTACAATTCTAAAATGCATAGCAAAACAACCATAACAATATAATATTCAATGCAGTAGCAACAAATATAAATAGAAAATTGGAAATTACATAACAATAACATGACTGTATCAGCACTTGTAACTTTTGGTTGTGAATCAATCATTATTTACAAGTATTTACAGGTAATTTACAAGTTTAATAAGCAAGCACTACAAAAAAACATTGATAATTATTCAATACAATAGCAACAGATAATAAAGAGGATACTCAAAGATAACATAATTATTTACAGCATTATATTACATGATCCTGCCTTACACCTTCAAACCAAATTTCATCAAAATCGGATAAAAATTACTCAAGTTATCGTGTTCACGGACACATATATATATATATAAATCTATATATATATATATCTATATATATATATAAATCTATATATATATATATATATATACATATATAAAAATTTGAACGAATGGTGTTTTTGGCCTCTGGGGACATCAAAATGAAAAAGTAAATCGGTCCCGCACTTAGGTCTTACCATGCCACCTACGGTAATAGCTACTTCCCTATAGGGAAATTCGCTAAAAGTAATAAAACATTAAATAACATGTTACAGAATGATAGTTTTGATTGCCTTTAACAATTTTTATGTTTATATTAGTTTTGAAAGAATTAAAGTATAACATCAATTACTTAATTAAAGTTAAACATCATTGGTATCATTGATTTAACGGTTTCAACTTGTAAAATACATTTTCAACCTTGACCAAACACACAACAAAATTACAGCATAAATGTCCATTACATATAACGGCAAAATATTACCCAATATTTATTTATTTTAGCAATTAAAGAGTTTAATTGCCATATTAAAGTAGAACTATCAACGCTAGCGCAGGCGGCCGCTCGGTGCGGCGCTCGTGACGATGTACGGGGCAAAAATATACCGTGACACACTATCGTACATCGGACCGATCTTTTCTTTGATCTTTCGCCAAAAAACCGCCTCCAGAGCGCTCGTCTCCCTGCTCGGCCTGATGTCTGGTTCGCCGTCTGGATCGGTGTACGGACCCGTGACACACTATCGAACATGCTCCCTTCAACCTCCCTTCTCCCTGCTCGGTTCGTGGTCTTATTCGGGGAAAAGATCGATAGTGTGTCAACGTCTTCAGGCTTAAGTTTCTTTCACATTACACGGTTTCTGACCGTACAGCAAGATAGTGTTTGCAATTGACCTTCAGTTCATCAACAAGCAGTGAACAGAAAAATATAACTAAATATGAAAAATAAAATCTAAAACAGATCAAATCCATTGATGCTGGGCGAAGTTCTAACCCGAAACCTTGGGGACCAAACACCTAGTAAGTAAGTAGAAAGGCCAACATATTATACTAACTGTAATTAGATTTTTTACGACAATCCAAGACCTTGGGGACCAAACACCTAGTAAGTGAGTAGAAAGGCCTTCATATTATACTAACTGTAATTAGATTTTTTACGACAATCCAAGACCTTGGGGACCAAACACCTAGTAAGTGAGTAGAAAGGCCTTCATATTATACTAACTGTAATTAGATTTTTTACAACAACACATCATAGTGCAGCATATTTTATGGCAAAGATGTGTGTTGGTTGATTGGATGGTAGCTTTTTTGACCAGGATCAGCTAATTCTTAAACCTTCCTTGTGTATATGTCTAAAATTATGGTAAGTCGTAGGTTTGAGAAGCCCATTGTGTTGAAGTAAGAATTGCACCTTGATCCTCTTTGATTAAATTTAATGTGACTTTTTTCCAACAAACCTCTGGAGCAGTCTTGATAGGCTCAGCTTTAAATCCTTCCTTTACGAAGGTTCCGCTGTAAGTTGTCGTCGGCTGCTCGTTGGTGTCTGGTTTTGATAGTTCCTCCAAGATCTGTTTCTTGGCCTGGTCCCAAAGCTCCTTCTTTAGCATCTGTTTTCGAATACCTGTAAATAATCATTAAAGATGAAAGTTTCTGCTGTATATTAACAAAAAAATAATAATGAAGCGTATTACGCTTGATGGTAACTGTGAAAATTTCAAAAACTTCAAATGTTATTCTCATAGAGAATCTGAATACATAAATTTTTGTAGCATCCTCTTTCATGTAATTGTTTTGATCAAATTTTGTAAATGTATCACATACTTAACTTAAACTGTATTACTTATTTCATTTTACAAAAAAAAAGTTGAAAGAAAAACACAACGGCTGTACCTTCTCCACTAGGTGCGGAAGGCCGATCTCCTGTAAATGTATCTTTGGTTGTGCTGGACGTCATGAAAGGTTCCTCAGGCCGCAGTCCGAGCAGCCACGGACGACTGTCATTGCCGTAGCCTTCTTCTTCACTCCGCTGCTTCTTACCCATCCTCTGCAATTATTACATAGGTCACAGAGAAGTAAGGTACAGAGGAAACATTCAATGGAGTCTAGCACTAGTCGTAACTAATACCAACACCACCTACTTCTACTAACCCCCCTCGCCATCATGTAATATACAACGCTCACGCTGGAGACCTTGTGCCCTGTGGGATAGAAACTCCCGCACACTACTCGCTGCTCTGGCTCTTTGCTCGTCACACGTATATTGCCCTAGCACTTACATCATGCTAAAGAAGAAAGTGCTCTTTTGCCCCATTTCCCAAAAGCAAGTTTCTTTGTACCTTTTCTCAGTGCATAGGTGGATATATAGTAGTCCTGGTTAGTTCTTTACCAGTTAATGTCATTCAGTTTTGTCAAGTTGACATTATGAGAAAAGCTCGAAAATACTCGGTACCTGTATTTTGTTTTCAGTTATTTCACTCCCAATCATGTAAAGTGGAACCATATCAATGAATAAATGTATTTTAAAAAAGTCCATAGCCTACCCCGAATTGATAGCTGATTCAAGGAATCCTGCTTGTAATAGTTATGTTTGAACCCTCAACATCTAAACTAGAATGAATTTCTTTACACTTGAATTGTAGCTTAACCAAAACAAATATCACTAAAAGCTTTCATAATCACCTCTAAAATGTAAACTGTTGTTTAAAAAAATGTACCCCTCAATGCAAAAATACTAAAAATTCAAAACACACGGTGTAAATAAACATTGACCAAACAAAACATCTTGTCAGTAACAAACAGCAACAGCTGATCGGTGACGTAGTTCATTGAAGTGCCGCATGTAGCGCCGCGGTAGTTCCACGGTTGGCCGCCAGGTAGCACCCCCTGCTACGTCTGGGTCTGCCCCACCCGCAAGCACATGGCAACCGTGTCGTCGTTGTCCCAGTCAGGGAGGCGGAGGCGAGGCAGTCTTGTTTTGATGCGGTGCGAGATCGATCGAACCGCTGACGTTTCCGATTCCTGATTCTCCACCGATATCCTCCAGTTTCACAGAGAGTCCAGTGACATTATCGTCGGATGTTATCTTTCCGTGTAGAATTTATTTTGTTTTCGTTAGGGGTTAGTGCCCCACCCACTTTTTTAGGATGGACCAGGACATAAATTTCGCAGCGCAATGTTTGCTGGCGATGTTTCACTCTCGTGACGAGAACTACCGCCCCTTGGACTTGAGCGCGCCCGCTAAGGAGCCCGAGAGGGCGAAGCCCCCCGTCTACATGGTCGCCCGCATCCTCACCGACCTGACGGAGATCAAGCAGGAGCCCGTGCCTAATGTGCCGGACGACGACGACCTCTACGAGGACGACATCGAGGAGGAGATCATCGAGGTGGATGTCACATCCTCCCCTAGTGCCGCAGCCTCGGGGACTACGCCCCCCGGGACTGTGTTCCGCAAGAACCACAGGTGCGCCCATCCCGGCTGTACCAAGGTGTATGGCAAGAGTTCGCACCTCAAGGCGCACCTTCGAACCCACACAGGTAACTAGATATATTCATGTTAGATCAATTAGCTTCTAGTTTATATTCCAATACAGGTAATGTAATTGGGGCTTTCTTTCCTGACAAATGACAATATTCATACTGTATTTAACAACAACATCGTAAATTTGAGGTGAACATCCTTGGAATTAGTATTTTACATAATTTAACCGATACACAATGACAAGACAATATCATTAAAACAACTTGTAAAACTGCAAGCAAATCGTTTTGAAGACAACCCGGAATTAGAGAAGTCATAAAACTAAGCTTCGATATCACTAAACCGCCGGATTAAACTTCCTTGTTGCACAAAATTAAAATGAAGTCTCCAACTGTGTTCGATAGTTTAATATCCAATGGCCTTTGTTATCAGTGCTGTCTTGATTGTTGTATACACTAGATAGAAATACTTATAATTAATTGATAACACGGTCTCTTCACGGTCGCTGTACGTGCGTTGCAAATACAGACATCGCTGAATGTATTGGAGAAAACTACAAATTAAGTATTAGCATAAGGTAAATTGTCACATTAGAATAAACTACAGTTTGTAGAATATTTCTACTGTATGTTAAAAGTTTTTGTGGACAGATTATTCATTGTCAATATGAATATAAAATTGTTTACCACACTTCAGTTACAATTTAAAAACAATTGGCATGCGCTTTTAATAATTTTACTCTCTTTAGTTGCTGTTGTCTGTGTTGTCGTGTTTTAGCTTGTACTTAACAACAATCAATTTATACACATTTCGTACAAGTGCTAAGGGTATGTCGTAGAAAATTCAATTAATTTAACACGTGTTTGTACGTTATTGTTTACTCTATTAATATGGAAGGTATCAAAATGGACAAACACAAATATTATGTTACAATAAAAAAGTGTACATTTTTGTTTAGTATCGACGCCTAAAAGAGGACAATTTATTTAAATAAAATTTGTTACCGTACGAATATTAACATACACAACACGTATAGGGTACAAAGAACGATTCGGACTCATCAATCTCATTAGTATCCGGTTCAGCAGTGTAGCCAATCGCAGATTTGAGTAATGATTAGGGAGGCCCTGTCTAATGAGCATTGTTGCAGCAGTGTGGCCAACATCCCCGTGCGATTTGCCAGGGCTGCCACGCCCACACCTTGCAGTGCCAGCCGATAAATAGAACTCAATTTGTTTTCTTTGTTTCGTGTAGTATAAAATTTATAGTGATAATCATTTAGAGATATTGGCTCTACAATAAAGAACTTTACTTGTTAATTGAAGCTGGATTTTTTAATTTCCTCAATAATATTATACAAATTGTTTAAGATTTTTTTCGATTCTTAGCCTGTATTGAAAATATGAAGATTTTTTTCATAAAACTTTAACTAATTGTATAACTTCAACCTTTAGTGTAAAAAATAGCATAAACAATTGCATTCCAGACGTACTTATATTTACATTGCTCACGCCAACACGACACACGAGGAGTTTCACATTTTGATTACAAATTAGAAATTGCGTTAACATTGAGTCATTTTCCGAGTTTCAGTAATCTCAGTCTCAAGACCTCATATCCGTCGTGTTGAAACCTGCAAATCCGCATCCTGGCACGTCTCAACATGAAACTTCACTTTTTCTCGTGCCAAAACCTTTCTTGAGAAATCGATTGTTTGGTTCTTCTATTTGCATCGCTTATGCTATGAGACCTTATTTAAATAAAACGCCAAAAGTAAATAACTAAGCATATGGAAATGTGAAGATCCTCCACAAAACCTACGGGGGTCCCTAATTTGCAGACAGAAATAAAGAAAATTTATTTAATCGATTTTATTCGAGTTGAGCTGACAGAATGGAAACTCGCTATAGTTTTGCGCCGTTGCCGTATCAGAGGCATATTCACCTTATCAACACGGAACTGCGACCTTGGACTAGACCACCGACCCGACACTCAAGGTCGGGAAACATCCTTCAGTTCTAAACAACGATCCTGTACCACAGACCTGACCTTGGACAGCTACAGATGCGTAATTGTACCAACTAGGACTGGCGAGGCTGGGGATGGGATTGAGAAAAAAATTTTAAAAAATTCTAACATTCAACAAATTAACGTTTAAAATGAAAATCGAAATAGGAAATTCAAGTGAATAGTGAACAAAGATTGTATACTATAGGCCTGCGTCAAGTTTTTTTAACACCTCAACTTATGGAATCGCGGTGATACGCTGGACGTTCTTGGTCACATGTCTCTCACTTTCATTCCCTATGACGTCGAAGTTACTCTCCGAAGGCGTCTCTTTGCTCTCTCCACCCAGGATGTGAACTGTATTGTGTGTTTGCCCAATGTTCGACGGGACGGAGGCGTCGGTGGCGGGGAAAGCGTGACAGAAGGCGGGAAAGTCGACACACTAACTCTGGAAAATCGATTGTCGCCGTGAAAATCGGAAAACCGCGTCCGGTTGCTACCACAACACCACGTCTATCACGGACCTACCTGATTGGTGTCTAAACTTGCACACGGGATTGGCGGATCTTTTGGTCGAGTCGAAAAAGTTTTAGTCTTACCCCCTTCTACCTTTACACTCATACCTCTACCCCTGACCCTTAAACCCCCTACCATACACATTTATACCATTTACCCTGTACCCGTATACCCGATACCCTTATTACCCTAGTTTTGTACCCTTTACCCCCTTCAACCTTTACCCTCATATCCCTTTTCCTGGCCCTTACTCCCCCTACCATACACATTTATACAATTTACCCTGTACCCGTATACCCGATACCCTTATTACCCTAGTTTTATACCCTTTACCCCCTTCAACCTTCACCCTCATACCCCTACTCCTGACCCTTAAACCCCCTACAATACACATTTATACCATTTACTCTGTACCTGTACTGTATACCCCATACATTTGCGACGAGATTTTCTGCACTGGAAAAATAAAATATTAAAAGTGCAGCAGTCGCAACCGTTTGCCGGGGATAGCTCAGCCTACAATGGCTGGGTAAAGTTCCAGGGTCTGCGATAAAGTCAGGGAAACCACTAGGCCAAAAGCCGGGTCTAACCGGTATAGGACTGGCTCATACACGGGCACTGTGAACAAGTCAAAAACAAGTCACCAAAACAAACGTGCAATAATCACTACCAGGCCTACGCCGATTCTCCACACTCCTAGGGGGTCGTTGCTGACTACGCAACTCGGGCTTCGTTCTAACTATTCAATAGTTAAGCCCAGAGTGCCTAAAACACGGTGAGTTACACGACGAATTGCCAATAAAAACCACAACGCGCGTTATCACCAGGCGGGGTCTACTAGGCCACTATAATCCAATACACAACTCTAATGCCCAAGCTAAGAATCAACCAGTTTACTCAATAATAATACCATATAATAATACAAGTGCACTGACGGCAGAGTGACTACACCTCTAGTAGCTGGTCTCAATAAATACCAAGCCAAACAAGCAAAGCTAAATGCCAATTACACTATTAAAATATTGAGCTACTTAGTAGCAGGTAAATAAATATTAAATACGTTCCAAACACTAGATAAATATATTATCTGATAGCCGGTACTCCGCTATCCAAGCTACCGAGATAACGTGTTGGACTACCAAACAAGCTGTTCAGGTTAAATTGAAATAATCAAATGAATAAACAATAACAACCCTACTACTGCTACTGCTACTACCAACTTTGTGTTACTTAGCTGGGCTTCTGTTAATAGGCTAATAATATTAGCTAGAGATATAAAGTCAATGCTACTAGCCTACTGGCCACGTGTTTCCAACTACGCACGCTAAATCGTGCAGCCTAGGTTTGTCGGGCCTCAGAGTTATTAGTAATATAACTAACTCCTGGTACAACGCAAAATAATAACTACTACAGTCAATTAAATTATATTATTTGCGCTCTGGCACCTGCCCAGAACCGCCAGGAATACACTTTTTATTCCTGACACCTGTAAATAAATCCTAACTACCGTCAGGCTTTGACCAGCACGGTTACAACTCTAACTCTCTAACTCTCTTAAACCAAAATACAATAAAACGTCGTCCACTCACCCCAAGTGGGTCACTGTCTCACTACCCAACTTGAATGCCGACACTGTTCACCGGTATCACCACACTCCGATGTACCACCAACGTACGCCAGCCGTCTCCACAGGCACAGGACACCAACCGTCACGTACACTCCTCTCTACGTACACCGTACACCCGTCGTCTCCTAGTCGTCCACAAGACACCACACGATCCTCACTGTCCGGGATCCACGACTCGAATGTCCGTCCTAGGCTATCCTGAACATCTAGGATATCCCAGGCTTATCGGCACTGATAAGCCGGGTCAAAGGGCGCTCGCTAGCCTCGCTGCCGCCGCTCGCTCACCTCAACAATCGGTGCGCGGCCAAATAGCAAAAATATACCCCCCTAGGGAAAATAGCTCGTTACACATTTATAATCCTAGTGTTGTACCCTTATACCCCCTACATTTACCCTCACACCCCGACTCCTTACCCTTACACCCCCTAACCTCCTACACTATTACACCATCTACTCTATACCCTCCTGCCCCATACCCTTATAACCCTAGTTTTGTAACCTTTTACCCCCACCATACATATTTACACCATTTACTCTATACCTATTCTGTGTTATAACCCTAGTGTTGTACCCTTACACCTATATACCCATTTTATCTCATGCCCTGTAGGCCCTACTCCCTCCATTGTAACTTTATACCCCTTCCCCTGTACCACTATGCCTCCAAGCCAGCACTCTTTAATAAGTAGTGGTATACAGATTATCATAATTGATTTTACACTTCAACGATGGTCCTGAGCACAAATTACCATTCAATAATTGTCTTCAGCTGATCCCTGAGTACCTATGTTTCATCGAAGATTCTCTTTTCGTTTCTATTTAGCCCTCAAGTATACCGGGTTGAAGCGTAGTTTTACAGGGGTTGTGTCATGTGTCGGTTGTGGGGGAGTTTAGTTCAACAAAGGTCCTTTTTGTCACCCCTCTACAATTATTACGCCCTTCAACTCTGCATGGACTAGACCCTGTGTGTAGCAGTGTTGCTTAGTTTGCATTGCAACCAAACTTCAAACATCCTTTAAACACACCTCATAAACTATGAACCAGTTATTAAATTACACGCGCATATAACGATGCAGGATGTGCTGTGTGCATGGAGGTTTCTCAATATTTTGAAATATAGTATGTTTAAAATTGTATGGTGACCCTGTACTAATGACATGTTACAAACGAGACCAAGGTAATAGCTTTCACACACTAACTACTGTAACGACCAAACGATAGTCACTGATAGTATATTGCCCAATTTAGAAGTTGTACTAAAATACAAAAATATCCTCCTTATATGCAGAATGTGCACCTCTGAATTTTACCATTTCGAGCTACAGCAGAGCCTTTGATCGAAATGTATATTTTATTTTATCGATGGGACAAAACTACAGAATATTTTAACCCAAATATGAAATGAAGGATGAGTGTGGAATGAGTAAAATGACAGCTTTGTTGTTGAATAAAATCAGCTGTTTAGGAAGGACAATTAATCGAAAGCTGGATGACAATGACAGCAGGGGCAAATTTTTTCTTAAAGCCACTGACTAGTCAGGATCGAACCGGTATCGACATCCTGCTGATAGGCTAGTAGTACGATAACGCGATAACAATTTTTTAAATAGGTATAGTTAAATATTTACTCAGTATTACCATTCTTTTAGAAATTCAGTTCCATCGTCTGCTTTAAATGTGAAACAGTTTTTGTTGTGTTTCATGCTCTGTTACGCTTGAATGCGCTGGCATCGACTAAACGTGTCTTTTGTATATGGTGAATTTTATATCGTGCCTTCAACTAAAATTACTTGACATACATAACATACTTTAGCAACGCCGTAAGATGTTGTATAAAAGAGTATAAAAAAGTCTATAAGATTTTCTTTATTCTTTTATTACCTGTTTCACTCAAATTTCCTTTGCCCATATTCGGGTGTTTTCTGAGTAATATTTCTTTACTATTTTACAGTATGTATGACGATGGAAAAAGACTGTTTGCTACCCAGTAGTATTCTAAGTTAGTAGTGCTTGAGGCGCTTTAATATTTATGAAGCAATTACTAAACCAAAAGCGTTCATTAACATTAAACCCTGTAGACCTATTTGCTATACAGGTAAAGTGACCATACTGTACTTACACACATTGTGGTTCTTAGGAAACAAGAAAACGATAAAATACAACTTAAAAATCGCAGTTTAATGTATATAGGAAGTGAGATACGGAATATTTGCTATCACATTAGTCATAGATATTCATAATCAACTTTAGATGGGGAGATTTCTGTGTTTTGTATATTACCACACAACTATAACTTTTTTCAAACTTCATTGATTGTATTTTATATTTTTACAAGGTTAACAGAGTTTTTATCCTATCACAACAATTTCGATCTTTATACATATGAAACGTTGTCCCTCGCCTAACCAAATAAAATTTATACAATAAAATCACTAGCGAAATATAATTTAAAAGTAGCAACCTTTATTGTTCATCCCAACATTAATATAGGCTACAAATACATCCTTAATACGTATACATCTTTCATCGTAAAATGAATTCAAATCTCACATTACTTCGCATGAATTCATAATTCAACTTACCCATTAGTCGGTACTGCACATTTAGTTTACGAATGTTGGCAACGCCGAGTGAGAACAGCTGATGACACATCACTCATTGTTGAGAACAGCTGTTCAGCTGTTGTAGAGCAGGTGAGCGCGGTCGCCCCCAGAGCAGGCCTCCGCCGTCCCTTGTCTTCTGTCGTCGACCTCCTCGCTGGACCACTCCCTACCGTCAAGGAGACCCGGGTCGATCTTCAGGGTCAGGGAAAAGTCGAAGAGGCGTGCGAGAGGCTTTTTGCCTTGGAAATTAAACAATTATTATCTTGCGAACTAATGTAATACATAAACTAGGCTGGGGAGTCGTAATAGGCTTAACTAAATAATGTTTGTGATACAATATATTACATAATGTTTGGATTATTACGAATTAGAGAGAATTATGCCAGGAGAAGTTCCCCTTTAAATGGACGTTTGTTCTTTTAAATAACTTTATGTGTGTTTCTTTTAAATTCAGACACAATTTTTAATTTTAGTCGCCGATGTGATCTTGAGAGGAGTTTAAATGACTCGAAATAGGATCCAGCTGTGCAAGACAGACATTTAATCAGCTGATCTCAGACTGTAACAAAGCTATTTTATCCATTAAACATTATTTAATCTTTCGGTAATATTGTTTACTAAAGAAACAGCTGATTTCAATCAGTAACAAACCTTTAAGTTAAAATACACAAATCCTTATACAATCAAACTATTTATACTTCAATCTTAATTCAAATTGTGTTTTTAAATGTTTATGTATTTTTATTGTCATTATTCTTGTTCAAAAAAGTGTTTTCGTCAGCTAAAAGTAGTAATAACGCCAACACCGCCCATACACGGATATACGAATTATTCAGTAATATCCGTCTACAATTTCAAAATTATCACGATAAAAACTCAATTTTGTAAATCCGAATAACCTATTATCACTGCAATCCTTCGCTACAGCCTTTCATATTTTCACCCCTTTCAATAAATGGCCGGAAACTGCTCAATAAGTCATAACCGGTTTGATTCCTGTCATTTGATTTGCTGTATGGAATGACCATTACAGCACTGACTAGCAATCGTTCTACAATGTGAATGCATTGATTTTAATTAAATAAACAGGTTGTATACAGATTAAGTACCGTGTATAGGCAATGCTATACCGATCTCCGACACATTACATAAAAATAGCTAGACATTTGAAATAGTTTATAGCTTCTCCGTGAGTCAACAAACATTATCCAGTGTGATTTGCTACCTGACGCGTCCTTGGAGGGAATAGTTATAATCGCATCCTTCAACATATACATTTTGCAATGTAGTAATCTTAGTGTACTTGTAAACTTCAGTATGCGTTGTAAGTGAACACAGCTATAGACCACATCTAACGTCCGATTTTGATACAATTTGGTATGTATATATACAACTTTTGGTATTTTTTTCTTTTTTGGAATTTTGATTTTTATGGTTTTTTCATATAACTCATTTAACAAAGGAAACAGCTGACATTCACAAAAACGACTCGTACGATTTTAATTTAAGTTTTGTATGTTATGACACTTTTAACACTAAATAAAATGGGACAACCCCCAATATATTAAAGTATTATATTGTCTGTGCCCCAATGGTGTAAAAATTACGGTTCAAATGTTATTGCAGTTTTGTGATTTTTCCAATAAAATATGGTTACTCCTACCGCTTCATAAATAACCCTTTATTGACAAGCTAATGGGAGAAGGTATGCGACAGATTGGTGATATTATTTAATTGGTTTGAAATAAAATCTTTAGCTGAATGAAATATTCGAACCACCTACATTATTACTTGGTTGAAATCTAATGGTGATTGGTGAGATTCGAACCAAGAACTTCAGGCACGAAAGTCCGCGCTCTACCACCAGACGGGAGGTCAAAGTGTTGACTGTACAACGCGTGTGACCCGATAGTAACTTTTGACCTCGAGGTCAACAATGATAACTGCGCGACAATCACTTTGATTGCCCACTTTGTACAATTAATTGTTTCGTTCGGACGCGCTCGGCTTACTGCGCTCTTCTTGTAAATCACTGTAGTGGAAAACTAATTTTCACAGAGATTCAGAGATTTTCAGGTTATTTCAAGAAAAGTGTTCTACTAAAATTTGTCTTATGCGAAAGTGATGTTAACTACCTGACCTAACTTAGGGGAAGTTTTGATAGTGGCACCCACTTCTTGAATAGAGCCGATTTTCACATTTATATTCGCAGTAGTAAAATTTTATTCACAAATATTAATTTAAAATTATGATTTTTTAATTGAAAATCTTGTAGACCAATTAATAAGTCCTTCAAGCAATACCAAACAATCAACATGACATTTATAAGATCGCTTGTGTGTATGACATCATATCAATTTGCCAATGACAAGCTTACAGCGAAATTGATATTGCCAACCTCTACATGTAATATTTATTTGGCATTTATAACAATAAAGAACGGTGACTGACGCAAGACCTTTGCGTCAAACGATTTACGTAAACTGACTGTTATTGTAAAAGAGACAAATTTTGACATTATTACTGTGGCGGTGGCGTCGTTGTGGGGACTATTGCGTCACTGATGCAGGTGGCAGTGGATGACGTAATGATAGCAACATTTTCATTGTTGTGAGATGTCGTCTGCTTCGCGATGACGTTAAAGGAAACTATTGTTGTTGTCTATGGTTAGGT